AGGATCATCCACTGACCCTACCATTGTTTCCACTCCTCCTAACGAATCCAGAAGGGAAACCTCACCCGCTTCTTCTACAAGAACGCCTGGACCTAGTGGCATGGAGTCTTTCCGGGGATCCTGGAACGTCTCAGGCCTATCGCAAACAACTAGAGATCTATTATGGGATTCATGGGCACCTGGAACTAGACGCAGCTACGTATCAGCATGGAATACATGGATCCACTGGTGTATGGGGAGGGATCTCGATCCCTTTACAGCACCTATCTCTGCAATACTAAACTTTTTATCCAACCTTTTTTCCACAGGGAAATCATACCGCTCTATTAACGTGATACGCTCCGCTATCTCAGCGGCTCACATTCCGATTAACAGTACCCCGGTTGGACAGGATGCTTTGGTATGCCGATTACTTCGGGGTATCAAACTATCCAGACCTCCAATCCCAAAATATAACAAGCTATGGGATGTGGATTAAGTTATCCGTGTTCTTTGCGACTGGCCGGATAACTCGGCTCTTTCACCAAGACAGTTAGCAGCCAAACTCACGCTGCTCTTATGTCTAGTTTTGGACGTTAGAGCATTCAACGTAGACGGTTTTTCAATTACTCCGGAGGGGGTTACCTTTACGGTATCTCACAGGACTAAGACGGACTCGGCATCCGTGTCCTACCCCTTTTTTCCCAACGGTTCCCCATCTCTGTGTCGTGAACACTTTGCTTCGTTCTGTCGAAGTGACTGCTCTGCTCCGTTTTTCTAGATCGGGACAACTGTTGGTATCATATACCAAACCATACAAACCAGTAACCCCTACCACTTTGGCTAGATGGGTATGCTGGCTTCTATCCTTAGCGGAAGTAGAATCGGGTTTCAGGGCCCGCTTGGTACGGGGAGCGGTGGCCTCGCGGGCCTTCTTGGTGGGTGCATCACTAACAGATATTTTGTGCACAGCAGATTGGACTAGAGAAAATACCTTCAAGGTCTTTTATTTCCGACAGACATCACACGCATCCTTCTCGTTACTACCTCAGCGTTAAAAATGCAAAATAGGAAGCCTCCTGTCATGTGGTAAAATTGTAGGTTATGCTACCTATAATCTTAATTTTAGTAATGATAGAAGGCGAGTATTCCCCCTCGCATCAAAGAAAGAGGAAATGACACACCCATCTGGGATTTATATACAGACTATGCTGGACTATGATTGGTTTAAAGTTTTTGATTGAATGACTTGTGCTGCTGGAAGCATAAGTAAAGAAGGTTATGCAAAATACTCGCCTCCTGTCAAATTAAGATTATAGGTACACTATGTTAGCATAAACTACAATTCCTCTATATTTTAAGCCCATTCGATAACTATACGGCAAGGATTTTGCCAACACCCGCAAAATATATACATAATGTTATGTATATATTTTACCACACACTGATTGGCCCATTTTTGGTCTCTTTTGGTTAGTTTCAGTCTTTCCCTAATCAGGTTTTTGTCACCAAACTTCTACAGACGAATGACTTAAATTCAGGTGTCTCAAAGTTTTTTCTGATATAAAAAAAAAGGGTTCAGCTGATCCAAATTTTCTTGCTATGCACAAGCAGGGCCTGCCCGTCCATAGGACGGACTGGGGCAGTCACCCCAGGTGGCACTTTAACAGTGGCGGCATATTGATGCCCCGGACTGCCTCTGCTCCCAGTCTGCAGCTGCGCTGTGTGCAGAGCTGCAGACCATATGATGGAAGACTCGCGAGCTTCCAGAGCACTGCCCCTCACCACTGTCGCCCTTACATCCTGCCCCAAAACTGTCACCCTCACATCTTGCCCCCAACACTGTCACCCTGCCCCCCACCACTGTCATTGTCACCCTCACATACTGCCTCCCACCACTGTCACACTCACATCCTGCCTTTGACCACTTTCACTCTCACATCCTGACACAGCCTTTGTACACACTGCCCCCCCACACTGTACCCTTCCTACACACTGCCCCCCTATACTGTCACCTTCCTACACACTGCCCTCCCATACTGTCACCTTCCTACACACTGTTCCCCCTATGCTGCCACCTTACTACACACTGTCCTGCCATTCCAGCCCACAGGTAAAAGGCAGGAAGGGAGGAGAATCCCAATTTAATTTAAACTGCTCACCCCCACCAGCATTTATCCAACTCTATACACACACTACATACACTACACAGACACTACTACAGACACTACATGCACTACACAGACACTGCATCCACTAGACACCCAGCATCCACCACACATACCCCACATCCACTACACACACCGCCTCCACTATGCACACACAGACAATATATTCAATACACACACTGCATACAATACACCCTACATCCATGACACAATACACGACGCAGCATCCACAACACACAGATGCAGCATCCTGACACACAGACGCAGCATCCATTACACACACACACACACTGCATTCACTACACACTGAAGATGATATACACACTGACACCCAATACACAAACAGACATTTCATTCACTACACACACTGCATAAAATAATGGATGTTGGTGTGCTTTTGGTGCAAGACAGGGGAGGGGAGGCAGCATTTCATCCTTGGACACAGGCAGCACAATGTTTTGGGACGGCCCTGTGCACAAGTCTAATGTAATTCAAGTAATGACTCACAAAAAATGTGCCGAAAAACGTATACTTGCGTATATACGGTAGTCAGTTTCCTTCCCCCAAATCTCCAGTTAGATTCTTTTTGCAGGAGTTAGTTTAGAGAATGCTGCTAAAGGTGCATTTGATACCTGCACATTTGGTTAAAAAAGTTTTATGGCAGTAACATATAACTGGCAGGCCAAAACCAGATGACGTGTGCATAAAAAGCAGAATTAAAAAATTACCACCATGCACGTTCTCTGAAATTTGTTTAGCACAATGGTTGGAGGAAGGATGTGAAAACACCCCATATACAATGCCCTGGAATGTCTACTTTAGAAAAATATAAACTTTCATGATGTTAACATTAACTGGGGACTGCAAAAATATGCCAAACTGAAGATAGGCCAAGCATACCTATATATCAAGTTGAAAAACTGATATGTACAAGTCTCGATTGTGGCCTTTTAGCCCCCAAACAATCCAGCAAACCTATGCATGGGTGATATCACTGTACTCAGGAGATGTTGCTGAACACATATTGGGGTGTTGTTTGGCAGTGACACATAACATGATCTGTTAATTCATGCCTAAAGTACAATGTGTGTGAAAAAAACACACAAAAATTGACTACCTAAAAGTTTGACAAAGTCTGGTATGTAGAATTAGTGCATGGAAAGTGTTAAAAAAACACACCATTTAAAATACCCTAGGGTGTCTACTTTCCAAAAATATATGGTTTGGTGGGGGTAAAAAACTTTGGCCGGTCTTATGAATGTCCCAAATAGGACATGTGCGCAGGTTGACTACATGTCAAAATTTCAAGTTGAAAAATGGATATGCGCACCTGCCAAATGTGGCCTTTAAGCCCCCAAACATCTTGACAAGCCTATGTATGGGTGGTATCAGTGTACTCAGGGCCAGATTAAGAGCCCAGTGGGCCTGGTGCTGACATTTATGATGGGCCTAATTACAAAATCGTATTTACCAAAAACACGAAAACAGTCTTACCTCCTAAGCGTCATGTATCTGATGTAGCTGGTGCTGAAGGGAAACTCATAGGATGCAGGTATGAGAAAACACATACCCTTTGCTAATCTCACGCTTTCATCTTCAAGTAAACCTATACCCCCTTACAGCAGTGTCCAGTAAAGCAGGAAGTCTATGGATGGGGTAAAAGGGTGGGCCACTGATGCAAATCTGCTGAAAGGGGCGAACATACACAAAAAGGGGGCATGTCTGTGTCCCCATGTCTCCCAGTCCCTTAGTGTCTTTGTCCCCATGTCTCCCAGTGTCCCCATGTCACTAGGACACTAGGGGACATTGAGAGACATTGGGACACTGGGAGACATGGGAACACTGAGATACTAGGGAACACTGAGAGACCTGGGGACACAGTCTCTTGGGGACACTGGGAGACATGGAGAAATGGGGACACTGGTTGACTTTGGGACACGAGGGGACATGGGGCACTGAGACAGTGTGATACACAAGGGACACTGTGATATATAGGGGACACTGGAGACTTGACAAAGACCTGGGTACAAAACGTTGTGGTGTCCAATAAACCTGCTTAAATCTATCATAGTGAGTGCCTGAGATTTATTTTCTTCTATACTAGGGGACACTGAGACACTTGGGGGCACTGTGAGACATGGGGACACTGGGAGACTAGGGGCCACTGGGAGACATGGGGCCACTGTGTCCCTAGTGTTTCAGGGTCCCCATGTTCCCCAGTGTCCCTATGTCTCCCAGTGTTCCAATGTCTCAGCGTTCCCAAGTCTCTCACCGTACCCATGTCTCGCAGGTTCGGAGCTGCTGTCTGGGCTCTCTGTGCAGAGCTGCTCCCCCGGATCAGTAAATAGAGAGAGTCAGGGAGGGAGATGCTGTAACTTCTCATCCCTGCCTCTCTCCACACAAACAGCGACCCCTACTGGCCAGCGCTGGTATTGCAGAATAATCTCTGTTTATACTGAGACAGACATTTGTATTGCCGGTTTTACTGCAATATCGGCACCGGCTAGGCAGCCTCAAATACCTGAGAAATACCTGGCAACCATAAGAAATACATGAGAAATACCTGGCAACCCTAATAGTAGTGTGTGTAAAAAATTTTTACATTTCATGGGCCTGGGCCTGGGCCTGGAGCTGCAGCTCCATCAGCCCCTATGTTAATCCAGCCATGACTGTACTCAGGAGATGTTGCTGAACAGGGCCGCCATCAGAAAATTTGGGGCCCATGACAAAGCACAAGGTCTGGGCCCCCCCCCCTCCTCGCGGGCCCGCCCACGCCCTACCTAGTCCGCTCACAATGATGCAGGACTGAATGTGGTGTGTGTATAGTGGAAGTGAATTAGAAGTAGTGTAATGGATGTAGTGTTTGTGTGTATTAGATACTGTTTGTGCAATGAATGCAGAGTGTGTGGTGTAGCGGATGCAGTGTGTATAGTGAACGCAGAGTGTTTTTGAGTAGTGGATGTAGTGTGTGTACAGTGATGTAGTGTGTGTTTGTGTAGTGGACGTAGTGTTTGTATGTACTAGATGAAATGTGTTTAGTGGATGCAGTGTCTGTAGTGTGTGTATCAGGCGCAGTGTCTGTGTATAGTGAATGCAGAGTGTTTCAATTTGTGGTGGATGTAGTGTGTGTACTGTGAATACAGGATGTTTGTGTAGTGGATGCTGTGTGTACAGTTAATGCAGAGTGTATGTTAGTGTAGTGAATGCAGAGTGTGTGTCAGTATAGTGAATCCAGAGTGTGTGCATAGTTTAGTGAATGCAGAGTGTGTGTTAGTGTGTAATGAATGCAGAGTGTATGTTGGTGTGTAGTGAATGCAGAGTGCGTCAGTGTAATGAATGTAGTGTGTGTGTTAGTGCAGTGAATGCATAGTGTGTGTAAATTTGTAGTGAATGCAGAGAGTGTGTTAGTATGTAGCGGATGCAGAGTGTGTGTTAGTGTAGTGTATGCAGTGTTAATGTGTAGTGAATGCAGAGAGTGTGTTAGTGTGTAGCGGATGCAGAGTGTGTGTTAGTGTAGCGTATGCAGTGTGTGTGTTAGCGTATGCAGTGTGTGTGTTAGTGTATGCAGTGTGTTGTGTTAGTGTATGCAGTGTGTTGTGTTAGTGAATGCAGTGTGTGTGTGGTGTTAGTGAATGCAGTGTGTGTGTGTGTGTTATTGTATGCAGTGTGTGTGTGTGTTATTGTATGCAGTGTGTGTGTGTGTTAGTGTATGCAGTGTGTGTGTGTTGTGTTAGTGAATGCAGTGTGTGTGTTGTGTTAGTGAATGCAGTGTGTGTGTTGTGTTATTGTATGCAGTGTGTGTTAGTGTATGCAGTGTGTGTGTTGTGTTAGTGTATGCAGTGTATCTGTTGTGTTAGTGTATGATCTGGGGTGAGGGGGAGGAAGGAATTTTAACATTAATTTTTTATTAATTTAATTAAATGTTTCTCCCCCCTCCCTGCTTACCTGTGTCCATGGAGGGGGAGATTCCATCCCTGGTGGTCCGGTGGGGGGGCCCCCCTTCTCCCTGTTACCGCAGAGGGGGCCCAGGCAGCACACAGCTTCTCCTCTCTTCTCATAACTCTCGCGAGACCCGGTTACCATGGCAACGCTCCGCGGGTCTCGCGAGAGTTATGAGAAGAGAGGAGAAGCTGTGTGCTACCTGCCTGGGCCCCCTGTGCGGTAACAGGGAGCCGGGTGTCCGCGCCTGCACACATAGATAGCGATATTCGCTATCTATGTGTGCAGAAAGGGAAAGTGGGGCCCAGGACTGCCAGAGCAGTCCGGGCCCCCCAGGGCCGCCGGGCCCGTGACAACAATCACGGTTGTCACCCCCTGATGGCGGCCCTGGCTTACTTTGCAAATAAATATTGCACCTGCTAAATTACTATGTCATTTTTAGCAAAACCATTTTTGAAAGCAAAAGCTTCAGGATTATCAGAATACTAAACAGTTTGAACAAAAAAAAATTAAAAATGAATAAGGCACAGAGGCTTCTTACAGAGTGAGTCACATTGCACTTGCAAATAAAGCACAGTCTATTGGGGAATCACTAATAATATAATGTGCAAAGGAAATAGTGTATTTTAAGGGAGTTATGTAATAAAATTTTAAGCTGTGCTACTTTCCAATACAGTTTTGCATTGTCTTCATGATCTTGATTATGACATTCAGACAGAACTAATTTCTCGGCTGCATCAATGTGATTGCAGGACTTTCAATTTTGCTGTTTTTTGTAAGCATGGCCATACCGAGGGTTTGGCGAGAACGGTGCCTGCCAGGTGTGCAGGCCAAGGGGGTGCAAAATTCACTTGTCACACTGACAAGTGATTTCTGCACCCCTTTGGCTTGCGCTTTCTGCGCCCCCCAGGCTTCCTTACTGTACACTAGTAGGAGGAGCACATCTCCCTCCTGCTCAGCATAGGAGTGCCAGGTGCACAAGCGCCAGGCGCTCAATCTGACACCGCACACCACTGGAGATTATGAGGCCCCCTCCCCTGCTATGACAGGTAAAACGAGGAAGCTATGAATGGAAGGGGCAGGGGGGATTAAGAATGGAAAGGGGAGGGGGATTATAAATGGAAGTGGCAATGCTATGAATGGAAGGCGAGGTGGGGAATGCTATCAATGCAAGGAATAGGGGAAGCTATGAATGGAAGAGGTAGGGGGATGCAATGCATGGAAAAGGTAGGGGGGCTATGAATGGAATGGGCAAGGGGGTGCTTTGAATGAAAAGGGTAGTGGGCAGCTATGTATGGAAGGGGTAGGTAAATAAATAAATACCCCACTGGACTGCCAGGGATTAAGAAACTCTTGGACAATTTAAGAAAAAAAAAGGTAAGCAAAAGAAAAATTTTAATTTTATTTATATCCGAAATGCAAAATGAAATGAAGAGGCTGGTTTTGCAACATACAAACAAAGCTACCTCACTAATATCTCACAGACCACACATCCATCACACGCATACATATTACACTCAGGAATCACACACATCTGTCACACACAGCACTCTCAGTCACCACACTCAAACTACACTCAAAAATCACACATAGCTGTCACAAACAGCACACTCTGCCACCACACACCCACATACATATTACTCAGGAATCACACAGCTCCCACACAACACAGGCTATGGCCTTTATGGGAAAAAAAAAAAAACCATAAAAACTTGCAATGGTCATACATTTAATGTAAAGTATTAAGGTGTATGTGGTGTTTTGTTTGTTAGGTATTCCACCTGCTGTAAACACACATTTTCCATTAAATAAGTTATTTATTGGATCTGTGAATTGTGATAGAATCATTGTGCAGATTACTATAAGTTGTATTGCTGCAGCTATTAACATGGTGTGAGTTTTAATGCAATAAGGCCAGTAATATACTCACACCCACCATACATTACTGTCAATTTTATTACTGTGAAACGCTGATTAATTCATCTTTTATACACATTACTGTAAGTTTTATTACTGTGAAGCTCTGTTAAAAAAAATAAAAATCACACACTGCATATTACTGTGAGTTTTATTGTGGTGGAGCTCTGTGATACTCATACAAACTGTAAATTAGTGTGAGTTTTAGTGTGGTTGAGCTCTGTGATACACTCATGCACACTGCACATTACTGTGTGCTTTAGTGCTGAGGTGCAGGGTTGTACCTAGGGGTTGGCAAAACTGGCCAAAAATCAGATGTCAGCCTGGCCGGCCCATGCATATATACTGTCTGATAGGGTCCGTCTTTAACACAGGTCAAAAGGGGCAGCTGCTTCAAGTCCAGTCAATCCTGGGGGGCTCAAAGCAATGGCGGATCCAGTGGGGTGGGATGGCCGGAGAGAGAGAGCAGAGAGGGATTGATAACTGGGTGTGTATAATAGTGATATAAGGACGGAAAGAGATATGATGTGGTACTGTGGCAACAATAAAGCACAGAGCTCCATATAAAAAGATAAGATTTAGCACTGTGGAGTTCTGTGCTAGTTTTACAAAAGAACAGGACATTATTGCTGACATTTGGTGACTTTGGACAAGCTACCACAATAAATAGCACGCATCCAGCTGATCAAACTGATTGGCACCATGCTGGAATAAAATTAGACAGTGCATTGCCAATCAGGAAGAACTTGCGATCTCCCTGCTGGATTGTGCAGCAGACTTCCACATGGGCTGCATTAGGGTGTGTCAGGGCACTCCAAGCTCACCCTTTGCACACACCTGTGATTTCCAGTTAAACTATTTTGGACTAAAATTTGAAAATCACTTTGAAGTAATTTTGAAGTCCCCAAATTCATTTAATAGTTAATAAATGTATTTGCTTTAATTTATGAGACATTTGTGTACTTTCATTCAAGTGTATTCAGGCTAAAAATTTTTCCTAATGTTAAACATTATTAAATAAAGCACAATACCTATTCAAAATAGAGTGCTCTTTTCTTATATGAATGATGTTTTTTTATCTAAACATTTCCAAAACATCTACTTTTGCTAGTTTTGACAGATATAGGTTAAATTAAATATATGTTGAAGAAAATTATTATTTTTTTTTTAGTTCTGCAATTGAGAATGCAGCATCGGCGCACTCAGGAACAGATGTCAGAGCACAATTTAATCCCATGTAAGTTATAACTGTAAGTCAATAAGTAATTTAAGAAAAAGATCACACATTCTACATTTCACAAAACATCATAAGTTATCTGTTGAAGAAACATCTACATTATTTCTTCTTGCAAAAACACTTAATTATACAATAAGCGTGATAAACCCTCTAAAATATTTGAAAACACACATTAATGCAAATCTATGCTTACAATTATCTAATTATCTGATGTATAATGACTATTTCAGCTAAATACAAATTTTCTTCAGATACGAAACATTAAATAGCATAAATTGGTATGTTACGTGTTTTTAGAATTTCAATGACTCTGAAAAATAAATCTGAATTTGTATCTGAAATAAGTTTTAACAATTTTTAAGTTGCTCATTTGTTTATATTTTGATTCTGTTTGCAGCACCAAATAAAACACAATCACCTTTCCAACACCAAAATGGCAACGTGGGTCAAATCAAAGTAAGTATGTTTAATTATACTAAATGAAGCAATGTAATTAATTAATATTGGCAATGTTTAAGTTCAACTTTTCACATCCTACATTTTTAAATTAATTAAAACATTTAAGCTTATGGTTTAATATTTTATGATACTATCAAATGGGCTCAACGTCCATCAGCTCGCACTATCCTAAAACCACTATAGCAATCCTTCTGTTTTGTTTAAACATAACATATATTTTTAGTGGTATTTTAATAGATCATTAGAGCTTATCCTATAAAGTATTCTGAAAAAAACAAATACAAGTAAATATTACAATAATTTATTTGCCTGACAGACTGAAGATATTTTGAGGTTCAAGAATCAGAACAAGCTCCACAAAGTGTCAGCTGCGAAGATGCATTTTTCTGAAGGTTTGTCATTTATTTATTTGTTTCAGTTTGACAATTTTTATTGATTTAGAAAATGGGATACAGAAAGGAAAAGTGGATGGAGAAACATAATCATATACATTTTCCAATTGATAACATTTGTAGAAATTTATGTTTGCACAGCTGAGCAGGTTAACAGTTTGCCCATCAGTTCCACATTTTATACTTGATACAGTATTCACCCATGTGATGTAGTATAATTTTGTTTCCTGTTAACTATGTAACTATGTATGTTCATGTTCCCAGGTGGTCCTGCTGTGCTGTGCCTGGTGGGTGGACCAGTATTCTTTCCACCTCAGGTTTGGTTTGGGTAGTACACCAAATTGAGATGCAAGCATAGATTTGTATGTCCAGTTAAGGTTTATTTGGTCAATTAGCTTTCCACAGCTAGGTCATGTGGAAGATTTCCGCAATCTTGATATCACTAAGGCTGCTGTAATGAGAATCCGATATGTGGCCGCCCAGTGGGATCCTCTCCAGCGGCATGAACAATATACACATGTCTACTGTGAGATCCACCAAGACGTGGGTTACTGGTTCTATAAGTGTTTTTATCCCTCAATAAAATGGTTAACTCGCGCACGACCAGCAAGCATGCAGCATGGTTCCTACTTGTTCTCCACATCTCCAGCACAAGGTGGAGGAAGAGGAAGATTGGGGACATATTTTGTGTATTTTGTCAGGTACTAAGTACCAACAATACAGCAGCTAGAAAGCTGTAGCTCTAAGTGGTTGGAGCATGATGTGACTCCTTTGTGAGGAGTATGTCTTTATCAATTTGTCTTCAGGTATGGTGCTTATAAGTAAGCGATAGCACAGTGAGATCACTTTTTTGGGGCTTTTTGATGTATACAGATTTATTTGAATTCTGAGAGCATTTGGATTGGTTCAGCATTACCTGGTTTCGGTTTTGTGCTCATTAAGCATGACTTTAACTGGAGATACAAAAATGTAATGGGGGATGGTAATCGAAATTGTGCTTGTAGGTCAGGAAACTGAAGTAATGTTCCCTTGTCATACAGTTGTACTATGTGTGTTATGCCCTGATCTATCTGTAGGTTTTTGTCAAATGTGGGAATCAGCTGAGCTATTGATTCTATGTATTGGCTGAAAGCACACCAGATCAGTCTTTGACCGCATCCCATACCTTTATCAGCATCTGGGAAGTGGTGCGAGGGTGGCCTGTGACTCGTTGAGGTCCATAGATAGATGTACAGTTCTAGTGGTTTGGCCCAATGGAATTCAATGTGCAGCCATTGGGGGAAAGTTTTCATTGGATCGCTGCTCTATAGTAGGCTAGGAGGTGTTCTTTGTATGAGCTTGGTAGCGACTCTCACTTTTTTGCTTTGCCAAGTAAATCATAATAGCAAGTTATATACAGTTGAAATTAATCTCTTAGGTAGATGGATTTGAAGTGATCTGTAACGATATTGTAGTTTAGGTAGTAGGGACATTTTGAGTGCCGCTATGCGACCCAACCAAGGTAGAAACTTCCCTTTGTTGCTTTGGGATATTTATGCAGAGGGCTTGTGTTTTCATAATATTTAGTTAATAGTTTGATAGGTGCCCGTATTGTTCTATCAGTTGCACGAGGTTAGGCATAGCTTTGTGGGGTTGCATTAATGTGAGACACACATTATCTTCAAAGAGGCTGAGTTTTTATTCCCTGTCACACAGGGTTACTCCCCTGATGGAGTCTGCTGTTCTTATTTTAGCCCCCAATGGCTCCAGGGATAGTACATAAAGCAGTGGTGAGAGTGGGCATCCCTGCTGTGACCCATTGGCCATTGTAAATGGTCTGAAGCAGAATCCACCATTGACAATTCTGGAAGAGGATTGGCTATATAAGGCCGACAAAACCTGAATACATTAATCTGGAAAGCTGAATCTTTGCAGTACCGGTTTGAGTAAGGTCCAGTTAAGGCGGTCGAAGGCCTTCTCACATCAAGCGACATGAGAAGACTTCTGACCCCCATCCAGCTCACACTGTGCACCAAATCCAGTACCTCACGGGTGTTATCTGAGCCCTGTCACACTGCCACGAATCCCACCTGATCATCATGGATCAGGAGTGGCAAAATAAGGCAGTCGTTGTGCGTGTACTTTTGCATATAGTTTGGCATAAGTATTTAGTGGTGATATTGGTCGGAAGTTTGGGCAGTGGGTTGTTGGTTTGCTCGGTTTGGGGACAGTGATTATGTGAGCTAGTAGTGGCTAGTATGTGTTGGAATTTTTGGTAGTACAGGTGGGAAAACCCACCTGGGCCGGGGGCTTTGTTTTTCCGGTAATGATTTTATAGCCTCCTTGATTTCCTTTATGGAGATCGGAACTTTAAGGGAAGCTTTTTGATCTTCCGAGAGGCTAGCTGTATGTTCGCTAAATAATCATGTATATCTTTCGTAGTCAGATTTTCTGTTTGGCCTGTTTGTGCTAAGTTGTATAACCCCTCGTAGTAGGTTGCGAAGGAGTTGCTTATGTCTATGGGGAGAGTACTTTCTCATTGCTCTGATTGATTATATATGGTTATATATCATTTAAGCATTGGCTTCTTTGTGTTTTAAACGAGACGCTAATAATTTGCTGGCCTTATTGCCTTAGATATATTGGTTTGCCTTCAACGTAGGCAGGTTAAAGCTCACTTATTGTAGCATGTGTGTCTTAATTTTATTCAGTAGATTTGGTTTGTAGGGTCTTGTTGAGGTTCGATTGATTTTGTTTGGTTAATTTGTGCAGTTGTTTATGCCAGCTTAACCATTGTGCTTGGCATGTATGCTGCAGTTGTGATGTTCTTTGTATCATCAATCCTCTGATGTGCCTGCCAAAAGGGTGCTCTTGGGTGTGTTAGGGCTTCTTCAATGGATGCCCCAAATTTTGAGTCATGTAAAACAGTTTCATTCAAACCCCATGGGCTTTTGTGTTTATAGTCATATTAGTCTTTAATTGTCAGGGAAATTGAAGCATTTTCTGACCAGGTGATTGTAGCTATATGACAGATTTAATCTAAGTGTTGCCTGTCTCTGTGGAACCGGTCAATTATAGTGTGGGTCTTGTGAAGCTTCTGAGTAAAATGTGAAGTCTTTCTGTTGTGGGTGTAGTAGCTTAGCGTTGGGCTGGGAAGATCTTAGTGAAGAGTTTATGTACATAATTTCACTGTTTCGAGTTAGGAGCATACACTGTGGCTATTGTATATAGGACATTATTGATTGTGCAGATTAAGATTTAGTATCTGCCTGTGGGGTCTGCCTAAGACTCGTGGTGGGTGAAGGCCACTCAGTTTAGGATTGATACCCCTCTAGTTTTATGTCCCACTACTGCATGGTACTGATTTGGGTATAGGTCAGGTTTCAAGGTGGGGGTTTGAAGTGGGTCTCCTAGAGATAAACTACATCCACGAGATTATGCTTCAGGTCTCTAAACAGGGAGTGCCTTTTATATGGGGTGATTAACCCTTTTACATTACATTGGTGTTAAGGCGCTACATTTCGTGTTCAAGTGTACCCCACTACTGCTTTGGTTCTTCCTTGGAGGGTGCATGCTCCTGTGAGTTTACAGACAAAGAACTTCCCTCTCCTCCAATGCAGTGGAGGGTCATTCATATTCCCTGGTAACTAATGTCACAGGTACGTTTAGAAGGTCATCTGTCATTATTGAGTGTGTGCGTACCTGATCTATAATATGCAACATTAGACTATTCCTGTGTACAAAATGAGATACGCAGAGTGGAAGAGAGGGGAGATGGGAGATTTAGAGGATAGGGGGATAGGGGGAAACTGGAGTTGAGAACTAAAGTAGTTAACACTACTAACAACCTCATTAAGGTATAGTATCCACAAAGTGGAACTGGTTGGGAATGTGGTAAATCTATTTTTGTCATATAACCTGGCTTGATCAGCTCGAACATTACACCTTATGTAACTAGTGCTCCACTGTAGCTCTCTGGGTTTAAGGATTAACTAGAGGGCTATCTGGGGATGTCTTATAGCAGGGATAGGCAACCTTCGGCACTCCAGATGTTGTGGACCACATCCTCCATAATGCTCTTACACCCATAATGCTAAAGTACGAAAGGAGTAGTTCAAAACATCTGGAGTGCCAAAGGTTGCCTATGCCTGTCCTATAGCATAATATCAGGACGTGCATGTTAGCTTAGAGTTAAGGTAACATCCTCAGGTCTCTAGACAGTAAATAAGTAAAACATAAGCATATATAATATAACATTTAAACAGATTGTCGGAAATTGACCCCTGTTACAGCCAAATTGTTTGTGTAGCTAATCGCAGATTGTACAGCCAGTTTTCTATTAGCAATTGCATGTGGTTATCATTTGCTAATGGTACCCTGCTAAAGGCCCAAGTTGTATGCTTATATACATTTCTGCCCATACATATTGGTGGTTAAAATTAACCCCAGTGTAATCTGACATCTGTATAAATCCTGATGTATTAGATGCTGTTGTTTGTTTTAAGGATGGTCACCTTTTTCTGTGGCTTTTAGCGCTGGGCTGGCAAAGAGGCACATCTGCCGGTAAATTAGGGCTATGGGCTACTGGTAGCGGAAACTCCGGGACATCAAACTAGGTTGTGGTGGTTGAAAAGCTCTGGGTGCCCCTGTGCTAAGGGCTATGGATTAACGCAAACATTATATGGCTGCTAGATTCTATGGTGAACAGGATCAGTAAGGTGTGTGTATGTGTGTATATATATATATATATATATATATATATGTATTGTGATCCTTGTCTGCAGGTAGCACAGTCCTCTAGGGTAAACAACAGGCACAGTCCTTTGGTTTTCATGTAATCCAGGCAGTTTTATTGTTACTCCACCACAGCTACAGCAGCAAATGAAAAAAACAACAATAACACAAATCCCTATAAACAAAAGCCTAGCTCGTCTGAGCACTAACTAACATCAGACTTCCTCTCTCTCAGGGTTTAAACTAGAACAAAATAATATTTGGGTTCACCAACCTAGTGCCTTTGTCAGATATCTGCACTCCACACTCGGTTCTGCACTCCCAGTGCTCCAAGCCAGCCTTAACTGCTTTCCTTTTGCACTCCCAGTGCTCAGTCTCCTTGACTCTCTCGCTGGAGAGAACAGCCTCTCTCTCCAACCTGCTTCCAGGGAGGAAGCCAGCAATCCCCCCCTTTACCTGCATAGCAGGGAGGGGTTTATTCCCACTGCTACAGCTGATTATCTGCAGCTGAGCAGTGGGTTGGAAACAGTTCCAAAAAACTCTTGCCTGGACCTGATTTCTCCCAGTTTTGTATAAACTGAGGAGTGGAGCATTGGTCCACCCTGCTCTCCAAATGCTCCACCCCAGGGGGCCCATAACTAAACCTAGCTTTGTGTTGCACATCACACATACAACACGTACTTCCCCTGGGGTTAAATGTTAAAGGCCTCTCTACCTTCACGTTTTCACAGTATATATATATATATATATACACATACATGCAATAGATCAACATTGGAACCTCTATAATAACTTCCTAACTAGGGGTAGTCTGTAGGGGTAGTGCCCCTGTTACCATTTGTATTAGGGAGGGACTTTCCCTATTTCTGCCACCTATTGGAAAAGTGCTCTGCTTATCCGAAAATGCGCTCTGAGGAGCTACCCGGAGTAGAGTGTATAGATAATATTTTTCCTTTTTCCGACATAGAATGTGAATTGGGTACCGAGCAAGAGACACCCTTGGTGTGCCTGGGTAATGAGGTAGAACCTCCCCATACTGAAGACCCTATTGAAGAAGTGGAGTTTCAGGATCTCAGAGTCCCCCCTGGTAACTTCCGAGCAGCCGAATGGGAAGATATGTCCCTGACAGCAGCAAGAGAGAATGTGCAAATAGTGGAGGGTACAAGGGTGGACCCTGACAAGCCCTTAAGCTTTCCTTATTTCATGGTGAAAAATAATCTGCTGTATCGAGTAGAGAAGAAAGGGTGGTACAAGGGTGGACCCTGACAAGCCCTTAAGCTTTCCTTATTTCATGGTGAAAAATAATCTGCTGTATCGAGTAGAGAAGAAAGGGGAAGAGGAGGCAGAACAGTTGTTAGTTCCCCAATCTCACCAAACCACTGTTTTAAAGCTAGCCCATAGCCATGTGTTAGGTGGGCATCTTGATTTTGAATTCTGACCCGATTTCTATTGGCCAGGCGTATTTTCGGCAATAGAGAGGTTTTGTAAATCCTGCCCAGAATGCCAACTGAAAGCTCCACATAAGGGCTTTCGTAGTCCGTTGGTACCCATTCCCATCATAGAGGTTCCATTCGAAAGAATAGCAATGGACCTGATAGGGCCGTTGCCTAGGTCCAATAGAGGACATCAGTACATTTTAGTTGTTGTTGATTATGCAACACGGTATCCAGAGGCAGTACCTCTATGGAATGCCACCTCTAAAAATATTGCAAGGGAATTACTGATGATGTTTAGTAGGATGGGCATACCAAAGGAAATTCTCACAGATCAGGGAACCCCTTTTATGTCAAAAATCATGCGTGATTTGTGCAAATTGCTCAGAATCAAGCAACTGAAAACCTCAGTATACCATCCGCAAACTGATGGATTAGTGGAGAGGTTTACTAAAACTCTAAAGGCTATGCTGCGGAAGGTGATAGACAAGGACGGAAAAAAATGGGATTATCTCATACCCTACCTGATGTTTTCTATTAGAGAAGTCCTGCAAGGTCCACAGGGTTTTCACCTTTCGAGTTGATGTATGGTAGGCATCCAAGAGGCATACTGGATGTTGCCAAGGAAACATGGGAACAAGAGCATACCCCCCATCATAGTCTTATAGAGCATGTAGCTCAAATGCAAGAACTAGAGGTTCTCATCATAGCCAGAGATAATCCTACTCAAGCCACTAGTGAGCAGGGTCCAGAGGTGCATATCGCTGATACTCTTGCCCCCCATCTGAAACAGGAAGTCAGGGAGTTTGTGTCTAAAAATAGGGATGTGTTTTCCCCAATACCAGGGAAAACACATATAATCAAGCATGATATCCTAACTGAACCTGGGAAGAAGATCAATCTGAAGCCCTACAGGATACCTGAGGCTAGACGTGAAGCGGTTAGTGCAGAGGTTAAAAAGATGCTTGAGTTGGGGGTGATTGAAGTGTCACAAAGTGAGTGGAACAACCCAATTGTGTTAATGCCCAAACCAAATGGGGAAATCCGTTTCTGTAATGATTTCCATAAGCTAAATGATATCTCTAAGTTTGATGCCTACCTTATGCCTCGTGTGGATGAGCTAATAGAGCGATTAGGTAAGGCCAGATATCTGAGCACCTTGGACCTCACCAAAGGATACTGGCAGGTACCCCTGACAGAGAAAGCAATAGAGAAAACCACTTTTTCTACCCCTGATGGGTTGTTCCAATATAAAGTACTGCCATTTGGGTTGCATGGTGCCCCAGCCACGTTTCAGCGTATGATGGATATAATACCTCACCCCCACAGGGAGTATGCAGCCACCTACCTGGATGATGTGGTGATTCACAGTGCTGACTGGGAAACCCACCTGATGAAGGTTCAGCCAGTTGTGGATAGTATAAGGGCTGCTATTTTGACAGCTAACCCTGCTAAGTGTTCTTTAGGGCTAGAAGAAGCAAAATATCTGGGTTACACTATCGGGCGGGGGCTTCTTAAAACACAAGAGAGCAAGGTAGCGACCATCACCAGTTGGCCACGTCCTGTAACTAAAAAGCAAGTCAGGGCTTTTTTAGGCTTAACCGGCTACTATCGCAGGTTCATCCCTGGGTACGCTACCATTGCCAACCTATTGACTGAACTTACTAAGGCAAAAGGCCCGGTTATGGTTAAGTGGACCCCGGAAGCGGAGCATGCCTTTCAAGTCTTGAAGGGAGCCTTGTGTGTTGACCCTGTTTTGGTGGCTCCGGATTTCACTAAACCATTTGTGGTACAGACCGATGCGTCTGATGTGGGCCTTGGCGCGGTTCTTTCCCAGGTACATGAAGGAGAGGAACATCCTGTCATGTATCTGAGCCAGAAAATGAATCCCCATGAACAGAGGTACTCCGTAGTGGAAAAGGAATGCCTTGCAATAAAATGGGCATTAGAATCCCTGAGATATTACTTACTGGGGAGACGTTTTACACTGATCACGGACCATGCATGAGGCAAAACAAAGAAAAAAATGCCAGGGTGACTAGATGGTTCCTAAGTCTTCAGCCTTACCAGTTTAATATTACTCACAGGGCCGGAACTTCCCAAGGTAATGCAGATGGCCTCTCCTGAGTTCACTGTTTATGATCCCGGGCCGCTCCCCCCGATAGGTCTGAGCTGGGGAGGGGGATATGTGATAAGGTGAATGGGGTGGTCTGTGAGGGAGTTTATATTTCAACTGAATTGTTCAGAGAGGCATATGATTTTTAACCCCAGGGGGAGTGTGTGTTACGGTGTGTATATAACCAAAATGAATATTTAGTTATGGGCCCCTGGAGTGGAGCATTTGGAGAGCAGGGTGGGCCAGTGCAGTTAAGCGGTTTTCTTGGGAGACATAGATCCAGGCCAGGGTTTTTGGACTGTCTCCAACCCACTGCTCAGCTGCAGGTAATCAGCTGCAGCAGTGGTAATAAACCCCTCCCTGCTAGGCAGGTAAGGGGAGAATGTTTGTTTTCTCTCTTGAAGAGCTGGCAGCAGCAGGCTGACTAAACACTGGAGTGCTGAGAGCTGACAAAGACACTAGGTTGGTGAAACCAATATTATTTTGTTGTAGCTTAACCCTGAGAGATAGGGGATCTGATGTTAGTTAGTGCTCAGATGAGCTAGGTTTTTTGTTTTTAGGGATTTTGTTACATTATTGATTTTTTTTCCATCTACTGCTGTCTCTTGTATGGATTTACAAATAAAGTGCTTGGAATTAAGTTCCTTTTAAAGACTGTGCATGTTTGTACCCAAAAGGACCATGCTACCTGCAGACAAGGATCACACTATTCAAACCCCTATAGTCTATACCAGGACGTAGGTCTCCTTCTTTTTTAGAAACGAAGAAGAACCCAGCTCCAGCAGGTGAAGAGGATCTACGTATGTGACCCTTTCTGAGAGCATCCTTTATATACTCTTCTAAACAAAGATTTTCCTGAGGAGATAGTGCATAGTACCTGGTAACAAGTTTATGGTACAGTCGTAGGGTCTATGTGGTGGTAGTATTTCTGACTGAACTTTGTTAAATACCTCCTGTAGGTCAAAAATACTGCGGTGGGATTTCTGTGGTTAGGTTGTGGCATCCGCTTAAAACAAAGACCTCTGCATCTCTCACCCCAACTCACGATTTCTCCTTCAACCCAATCTAAACGTGGATTGTGTTTCTGGAGCCAAGGAAAACCGAGTATGATAGGACATGTGGGTGAGGATATAATTTGAAAAAACATTTCCTCAGAATGTAGTATACCCATTGAGACAGCGATTGGCA